ATTGAAACAGAACTGGCAGATGTGTGGCTTCATTGACATTGAAAATAGCTTTTCTATTATCACAAGTAATAATTGCATGTGAAGGTGTTGTGGTTTACATAACAACAGTTTTGTATCATGAGATACACTAGAAAATAGTTATATTGCAGAAAATGGTGAACATTCACCTGAAGGAAGAGATGATTCATCCTGTCTTGGCAATGCTGAGGGTATACTTGTATGCTTTCAATCCAGTTTTTCCGTAATCACCCAATTGCAAAAGTTCTAGGGCTTAAGCCTCTGCTTTGAGATATGTATTGCTGAAGTTTTCTCAGAAAATCATCATCCTTCCACTACCACCATGACAAAAAGACTTAAAGGGGAGATGCTCCCCTTAATGTTTTCTGTGTTTGTGGACAAAGGACCCCAGGAGAGAAGCCTGGAAGGGCCCTGGAGGGAGTAACATGGGATGTTATCAGTTCATGTCACAGACAAGACACCAGCTAGAGACCACAGCAAGAGGATGGACAGTAAGAGTGACTGACAGTTGCCTGAGGGGAGGGGAGCTGGGTGAAAAGGTGGAGGGACTGAGAAATACAAATGGGTAGTTACACAATAGTCACAGGGATGGAAGTCACAGCATAGGGAATATAGTCAATAATGTGGTAATGACTATGTATGGTGCCAGGTGGGTACTGGAAATATCAGGGTGATCATTTCATAAATTACATAAATGTCTAACCACTACGCTATACACCTGAAATTAATATAATGTGGAATGTCCACTATAATTGAAAAATTAGAAAATGAAAAAAAGTGTATGATGGGATGATAGCAGTGGAAAGTTGAAAGACCAGATGGAATGACATTGTCCTCAGCAGATGACAGCACATGACTTTGTGGGACCAGGACTGTCCTTACCACCCCCAGGACTAGTCATAGTCAAGTGCATAAAGAAAAAGGAAGGGGAGAAAACTTGAGTTGACTGAGTTTAATCAGGAACAAAGGAGCTTTGAGAAGATCCTACCATCACAACAACTGAGTGACTAATGGCGATGCAAATCTGAAAGACCGGCTGGGCTGAGTTAATCATTAAGGAGACGAGGACAAGTAGCCAGACACTTGGAAGGGAAAAGTACATTTGACCTTTTCCTATACCAGAATGTTCTAGATAGTAAAAAATGATAGTGTAAATAAAAGCTGAAAGGAAAAATAAGGAAATATTTTCTGATTGAATGTGAGGGACCTAAGATGTAAAATTTTAAAGAAAAACATAGACAGATTTAATGATACAAAAATTTTAAAAATTTGCATGCAAAAATGTCTTGACTGAATAGAAAATGCACATAAATTGGGGAAAATGTTCTAGCAAGTAAGACAGAAGTTTATAACCTAACAGTCTAAAAACCTCCTACTAATACATGAGGGCAGGTTAATATCCAAAGGATAAACAGGCAGAGAATGTGAACAGATATAGTGTAAATAGAAATGATCACTGGTTGACATTGAAAATGTTTAATATCATTAGCTAGCATTTAGGAAATATAAACTAAAACAAAATGCCTGTCAATTTAGGGAAGATTTAAAATGTTGTAGTCCTCATTCCAGGTGAACAAATAGCAAGTCACTCATTCACTTTGCTGTTTGGAGAGTAAATTGAGTCAAATCATTTGGATAGTAATTTGGCAACCTGTAGCAAGAGTTTAAAAGAGATTAAAATTGGAAGCAAGCCCTGGCTGGTGTGGCTCAGCTGGCTGGAGTGTGGTCGCGTACACCAAAAGGTTCAGTATAGGAGGCAACTAATGTTTTCTTCTCTCTCTCCCCCATCCTCTTTCTCTAAAATAAATAGACATATTTAAAAATGTTATAAAAATTTATATTTTAAAAAAAATGATGTTTTCCAGATAGGGGAATATTTCAGGATATTGTGTATATCTACATGCTGGGCTATTATTATACAGCATTAAGATGGAGGTATTGGAAAATATTCAATGACGTGGGAGAATACAAATAGACTAAAAGCAACATGCTGAATTATATATACGGCATGACTGCAACTGTGCAAATAAGTGTGCATGAAAATGGTTTGAAAAAATGCATGACTCTACCTGTGCTTAATTTTGAGAGTTGTGATTACCAGTGATTATATTTTCTTTCTACTTGTGTGTAGTTTTAGAGTGTAGAAAATTCTAAGTTAGAAAAATTTGAAAATAGTTTTTGTTAGAAATATATATATATGTACTTTTAGCTTTACTGTAACTTAATTAACAGCTCCTGCTCTAATGGCTCAAGAAGGCTGATGCATTTGTCTCAAGCTATTTGAATAATGACCCTGTCCATGTTTCATTTAATACTTTTTTATTCTTAGTATGTGTCAGGCACCACATTAAGCACTTAACTCATATGAACTCATTTAGAATTTAAAATACTCAAATAAGGTAGGTCATATTGTTATCCATATTTTATGGAGCAGAAAACTGAGGCACAGAGAGGTTACTTAACCCCCTGAAGGTCACACGGCTAGTTAATAGCAGAGATGGGAGTTGAATTCAGGTAGTGTTGCTCCAGTGGTCCTACTCTCGATGCTCTATGTGCTTATGTTTAAGAGAATAAACAACCTTGTCTTTCAGGCAAATAATAAAAACAAACTAGCATCAAACAAGAGTCATAAATGTAAAATAACATTTGTGGGTCATGAATATCATCAATGAAATCAAAGACTTAAATTAGATAATCTTTTTAATCTAATTCTATATTAGATAAATATAGATGGATGTAAATTCTATGATTATATTTATTAGTAAGAAAAACTGACTTTTGCATACTCTACTAGGTAGGAATGTCAATTATTTCCTTCCTGTATCACTTCCTTCCCGATCTCACACCTTTTTATTAGAGACTCAGCCACGTGACCCCTGACACTGCCCCAGCCCAGTTGATGGATCAAGGAACGCTATCTCACCCAAGCTAGACAAGTGAGTCCTGAGTTTAGAACCAGTGTGCCAAGATTCTAGCCTGCCCTTGATGGCATGCACTGAGTTCAATGTGGGACCCTGCTGGCCATTTTCTGCTGTGTGCTGGGAAGCACAGAGGCAGCTCTGAAAAGTGAGCAGAAAAGAGAGCGACTCACAGAGAAGAGAGAGGCCCTGATCCTGCAGCCCCATGGAGGCTGGCTGGTGGGTGGGACTGGGCAGGTGAGGGTGTAGTGGTCTGATTTCCAGATCTTGGTTCTGGGACACCATGAGCACTGGCGATATTATCTGACCTTGGATCCTATAACACCCTGTGTCCTTTCAGTACTCCCTTACTTGTGTTTGTTTGCTTTATCTAGTTTGAGTGGGATTATTATTTGCTACCAACCAGGCAGAGCTGCTGTGGGACTTGAATGAGATGATCCCTTGAAAGAATCAGCATACTCTCTAGCACAGAGGTCTCCAATCCTTTTGAAACCAGGGACCAGTTTTGTGGAAGACAATTTTTTCTACGAATTGGGGTGGGCGGGGGATGGCTTTATAGCTGCTACCAGATGCAGCTTAATTGTCACTTGCCACTCACTGAAAGGGTTTTGATATCAGTCTGCAAACAATTGATTTATTATGGTCTCTGTGCAGTCAAACCTCTCTGCTAATGATAATTTGTATTTGCAGCTGCCCCCAGCACTAGCATCACCATCTCAGCTCCACCTCAGATGATCAGGAATTAGATTTTCACAAGGAGCATGCAGCCTAGATCCCTCAAATGCACAGTTCATAGTAGAGTTTGTGCTCCCATGAGAATCCAGTGCCGCTGCTGATCTGACAGGAGGCAGACCTCGGGTGGTGATGTGAGCCGTGGGGAGCACCTGTAAATACAGATGAAGCTTCACTTGCTCGTCAGCCATTCGCCTCCTGCTGTGCAGCCCAGTTCTTAACAGGCCACAGGCCAGTTCTGTTCCATGGCCCAGGTGTTGGAGACCCCGGTCTAGCACATAGAAGCAAAGTTATCCTACCTTCAGTCCCACTGCATCTCAGGAAAGGTCAAAGGGCTCAGTGTTCCCTGTGCTGACTACAAGGAGATCATAGAGGTTCAATGGCTAGGAGCTGGAGGTAGTGTGTGTAGAAGAAGGCAGAAGGGTGTCCAACTGCAAAATCCCCTATTTCTCAAATAGTCTGAGCTATAAAACTTTGTCTCCACTGCTCAGTCTGTTGATGAAATAATGATGGCCAGGAGTAACCAAGAAAACATTCAGATGTGGTGTATAAGCAATTTGCTAAGGCAGAGCGTTCTTATTTTAGAAAGTCTTCTTAAGAAATTGGAGAGAAAATTCTGTTATTTGAAGGCACTCATGCTGGACATTTGCAGGTTCCAGTATTTGAGTATTTGGGCTTCTTCACCATAGTCCTTCAACATAGGAATGTTTCTGAACCAGGCAACCAGCCATGAGTCATCATCCTCTCTACCCCAGCTAAGCCAGACTAATTAGTTTTCTTCTCTTTCATTATCATTCCCATTATAAAGACAAGACTTATAAAGGTTAAACCACTTGCTGAGTTGCCTACCTTGTAAGAGGCAAAACTTGGTTTCATGCCCACATCTGTTCTACAAAGCTTGCTGCCTTCGTTGCACATATCCATATGCTTGGCTTTTGTAGGCCAATATTTCAGGTTTTACTGGACATCACCTTGGCCTAGGGGAGGGTATCTAGGCTGGATCGCCACCAGAATGGACATTGCCTTTTTTCTGCCGGGTTGTGTCTACATGCCTGAGACCACTGGGCCAGTGCACAGGGTGAGCAGCTAACATGTCTGAGCAGACATTGCCAGGGAATGAGTTTGAGGTGTGATCACCAGGGCTGAACTCTAGAAGAGAGACGTGCCTTCCACATGTTTTTAAAGATAGCCTTGAACAGTTTACATGGGGAAGATGCCCATTTGGTTGTAAGTGATTTTTACCATTGTAGGTAAAACCTCAAATCCTCTAACCCCAGTGAGCCCTCTGGGGTATAAGTTAGTTACCCTTTACTTCAATAAACAGCACCTAAATAGAAGCAGATCACAAAAACTTTTATTACATGAAAGTTAGACCTCATGGTAATTACCAAGTTACAAGTGCATTTAAGTTCATGTGTGAGGACACTGCAGAAGTCAGGCTGGCCTAACGACAGTCTGTGCTCTGGCTCGGCATGTGCCTGTGCAGCCCAAGCTAGAACCGTACACGCAGTGAGTGCAGGTCAACGAGGATGTCAGACTAGACTACCAACACCAGGTTCATTGTTACATGAAGCATTACAGACGTGAAACTCCAAAGACCAGAAGACTATTATTAACGTGATTCCTACTATAAACCTTTACTTCTACTTATATTCTTCCATAAGACCAATGTAGTAAATCCTTGACTTGGGGGGACAGCCCCATTTCTATATTTTCACACTTAAGTGGGCCACAGAAGCTGTAAACATGTAGCAGTCCCCCTGATGCCCACTGCAGGTAGATGCCAGCTGTCCCCTCAGGAGAGTGCAATTTAGTTTAACTGGTGTGAACATTTTATGTTGTACATCTTCAATCTGACATTTCTCTTCTATTTCAATTAGCACCAGTTTATTTGAAATATTTTTCCTGGTGTTAAGTATTTAGAAAACAATTTTTTTAAAAGCACACACAAAGTCCCAAACAATGGAAAGCAAAAAAAAAAAAATTTCAAAAAAGTTGTTTTAGAGAACAGCATTTAGAAAAACAACATCATTTAAACATTCGACAAATCTATATACAATGTGCCAAAAGCTGGCCAGGAGCACAGCTGAGGAACAGTCAGTGAAAAGTGTCTGAACCTGGACCTCCGCAGGTTGTATTTACAGTTGACTAGGTATTCAGAAACATAGTATCAGAACATCTGATTTTGGCTAAAAGTAATACAAAAAGACATTCCGCATAACTTCTAAATGGTAGCAAACATATCCAGTATAACTAAACATGAGTGCCAGGTTTACAAGTGTGTTTCCCAGTATTTTACATACAAACAGTTGAGAAACATTGTCAGTGGACACAGAAGGGAAATAGACTGTGGAGAAATGGATTTCTCTATTTCCACATTGTCAGATGAAGGCAAGGATTTTCTTTTCATGTCGTGTAATATAGTAAAGCATTGATTAAGGAGCAGAGATAAATTATTAGTGGAAAAGTTTTCATGGACATATAAAATCAACAAGAGAGCTAAAGAAACATGTGCACATTCCATATAAACATCCCCCCAAATGAGTCATCATCTCCATGTAATTTCGAAAAAAGATCAGTAATTTGCTTTGCTAGGAAATATTTTATTTTTTTCATTTTTAATTGGGGTGATATTGGTTAATACAATTCTAGGTTTCAGGTGTACCATCCTATAATACACCACCTGTATATTGTATTGTGTTCACCACCTCAGATGACAATATTTTATTTTTATATTTTGTCCTTTGGAACTACATAACCCAAAGCCTTTGAGGAATACTTTTTTAGTAGAGAATTAAACACACCAGATACAACCCACACTGTATTTATCCAATGTGATCCTCATTAACTCTATGCAGTTTTGTTTGATTGTTAATCCAATGTTCCTAGAACACATACCTCTACAAACTGGGCACATCTTGTGACAGCCAACATGTCCTTTTTCTGTTTAAGAGGTAAAATATAAACCATTTCCTATTAATTCACCTTAATGGCTGAATTTGTTTAGAGCCTGAATTTTTAATGCACCGTCTTTAAAAATATCAGCTAGAAGAATATAGATGGGAGTCCCACCTCCCCATAATAACATGTGTTCAAGTTTATCTTGAATAATTTGTGGTTGTGATAAGTCTCTATGAAAAGGATTTACTTGGGTTTGACACAAAATAAATATTACTCTTTGAAAATGCATAGTTTGTAACTTCGTACATTCATTTACTAACACTAATAACCTTTGTAAGCACTCGCTCATCTCCAAATGGTGGCTAAAACTATTTCAAAAGATGTCTGAAAATTGGGTAGCGTTGCCACATTGATTTTGCATTAGTAGTGCCCAACCACAAGTTAAGGCCTGTCATTTGAAGGCTAGACTCATGCAGGAAGAACCCTTCTTTACCTTCATTCTGTCTTTCTCCTTTGCTTGTTTCACAGGCACTACAGCGCAATGTTGCCTATTGACGGCATTTCCACTAACAACCCCACTAAAGATGTTTAGATTTTCATTTCAATAGTTTAGATTTGGTATAGAAAACAATTTGAAAGATGGCTTAATTTTTAAAAGTGGACTTTTAAAAAGCTTTGTCATGAACTAAGGGCAACAGAGGTTCTGTGATAACCGCTGTTTCTCTCACTCTCTAGCCCATTTGAAGAAGACTGGAGGCCACTTGGCCTTTGCATTTGATGATAGTCACGAACCCTTTGGGACCTAGCAATTTCTTCTTATCCTGAGTTCTTCTAAGTATATAGGTTTTGATACACAAAATGCTTTGGAAACTAGTGTCTGGTTATTCCAGAAAGCACATGTTCAAATGGCTGACCGCTGTCTAACCATTAATTACAAAAATAGGGATTTTAGGGTGTATTGTAGGAAAATATTGATAAATGACATTTTTTTACATATGTGATCCACATTCCTGGGTTATTTTACACCCAGGGAATTTTCAGTTATTGAAGTCGAAAGTATATTTGGGGGTATTGAGCTCTTCCCTAAAAATCTAACTCTATTCTAAAGCTTCCTGCCAGTGGTCAAGAAGGTTCCCCAAACAGTTGGGAGACTTCAGAAGAAGGGATTTTTCTATCATCACAGGGCTTGGTCAAATCACAGTCATTGATTTCCAATTAGCAGAGTCTATCAAAAAAAGATTTAAAGAGCAAAGCAAGGGTTTGTAATCTGCAGGAGATGCATCCTTATTTTGGGGTGCAGTGGGGGTAGTTTATGATGAAGCTGTACCATGGGTCCTGGAGGGTCATTCTAACTCTGGCAGCAGGCACTGGTCCTAAAGTTTTCCCTCCTTCCTCTCGGTCCCTCCATTTCTGCTCAAAGCACAGGAGGGAGGCTGCCCCCGGGGTAAGGGACAAGGGCTTCACCATGTGAGTGGATTGAAGCTGCTGCTTTCTAGATCCATGAATATAACATTTAAAAAATGACACCCTGCAGGAGCCACCTCCTTTCGCATTTTAAAAAATGCTTCCATTTTCATGTTGTATAATGTGGGCAAAGTGAGGCCTGGGACAATTACAGTGAAGCTTACTCCCTTTGCCCTCCCACCATTCCTGGTCCACTTGCTGGTGGTATGGGACTTGCACAGGGCTTTGAGTCTGCGTGAGAGGACTAGATGTCTGCCTGTCCTTTATCAGTGACTTGGCAAGTCTTTTGTGATGGGTGCAGCAGGCCGTGTGCTGACTGACCCTTCTCTCTGACTGCACTCCCCAAACTGTTCAGACAGATGAGCAGGGAATTCTTCCCTAAAGGGAGGGGGTGGCCTCACAGATTGAGACTAACACACCAGTCACGATGACTTTCATCCCCTTGGATCTTATTTCAGAGTGAGAAATCAGCACGCAAAATGTATAATCTGGGACCTTGGGAGAGGAACATCCACAATAACAGTGCAATAACAGAGGGACGCATCACCAGTGAATGCAAGGTGGCTGCCAGGATGGGGACTGCTCTCTGTTCTCAAAGCTCAACTTCTCCTGAGCGTTGGTTTTCCTCTTTAGTTAGAAGAACATAGATGAGCAACTCTTTTTTTAAAAGAAAACGTCACTTTTTAATGACAGCTTACTTTGCCTTCACCAGTAGTTGCTAATTTGTATTCTTGCTAATTTTCTGAATTAAAAATGTAGAGAATTGCCCTCTAAGTGAATGTAATACATGGGCCCCCGATTTGAAAAGTTTGCTTTTGGCCACTTGGTTTTTATGAAACCCTTATATTGACACCTGTCTTTGCTAACCAAAAGAAATCCGAAGAGCATTTTTGCTTTTGAGAAAAAAGCCATCACCTTACTCTAACGTAGGTCTTCGTGTTACTGAGTCAGTTTACAAAACGTTTCATAAGCTCATTCTACCTTTGGCTAGGTGGGGGTGGACCTGTATTAAGTAGACTTGATAATTTTTAACAGTTTCAAACTTGGAGTTAACATTACTTTTTGATGTGATCTTTACACACAGTAAATCTGAGCTATTTTAAAATTTCCTGGCATCAACTTAGGTTTACATGGATAACAAATGTTGAATGTTGGCAGAAAAATAACTTTTCCCAAGGAGTCTAAACTGTTATTCGTGTTAGCTTCTCAACTCCTATAATGACCACCTACATGATTGGAAACTTAGGAGATGCAGGATGGTGCTGCTCTAGTCCTAGTTTTTATTTGGAGATCATTCATTTGTATTTAACAATGTGAGTGAATGGGCTCTTCTATGTTGAGAAACTGGATTGGAAGAATGGGCTGAACATGGTGGGTCACTGGGTTTTCTCGGGTCTGGATTTGTTCTGAAAGAGTAAGGTCTGAGCTTTACTGAGCCCTTGCCATTGAACTTGCAGGCAGGCATGAAGCTGACTCCCAGGTTCAAGATCACTCCAAGTTAGCCTTGGAGGTGGGTGATAGTGACCCTAAATATACCTGTTCTCCGCTTGGTTCTTAGGAAGTACAAATAACACAATGCATCTGGAAGAGGCATGCTTTATTATAAATGAGATTGTCCCAACACCATCAGGATTCTGGTGTGAGATACAGACTAAAATCACTTAGTCCATATAGTCCTAAAACCACTTCATCCAAATGAAGGAAGTGACACCTAATTTTTTTCACAACACATTTATTCCTATTTTGTCTTTGTCCTAAGATAAAGATGGTAAGGTTTTCTGTGTGGAAAAATTCCATTCTGAGGTCAGTGGACACTCTAAAATACCCAAATACCTACCAGTTTTTCAGCAAGAATTTTGCCATATCAGAGGTGAAACTACAGAAATATTACCCAGGAACAAAAAGTCACAAGGCAGGAAGGAGGGGGAAGGAGTGTAGAAGGGTTGGCAAAGGGCTTCAGCACAAGGAGGCTATGTGTGCTGTCTTAAACTTTGGGGCTCCCAGCTGCCTTCTCTGAAGGCACAAGGCTGCTCCTTTCCAGCCCCTCATCACAGTGGTCACGGCAGTGAAAACACTAAGAAAGTTAGGATTACAGTTATTCAATACCCTGGGGCATGGCCTGGGCATACCCCAAGAAAGCAGAGTGAGAGCTGGGTAAGACTTCAGTATATTTTGATCAGAGGCAAGACTAGTTTGAGGACATTATACTTCTATAATCAAGTCTTCCATGAGAATGACTTCTGGGGAGAACTGACCTCTTTCCCATCCTTGATTTTAGTTGTCCGGATAGTGCCAAGCTGAGTGTGGGGAGTGTGAGGTTGGCTGACAGAGGAACTTGACTAATGGTTGTGGAATTTGAACTGTGTGTCTCCCAATTGCTGGATCTGGTGGCCAAAGGCTGCACCTGCCCATGCTTAGGTTCCTTTGGTCTGCACAGTGTTGGCCAAGAGTCTGAGTTAGTTGTTAACACTTAGCTGTCAGTTAAGATCACATTTCCAAGTCAGAAGATCTAGCCTCCCTGGGCCTGATTTCTGCATGGTTCTGATTGTCTACTGCTGGGTGCCCCCTTCAAAGGGGACATGCTTTTTCTTGTGTAGCATGATTGCCACCATTCTCCAGTGTCCATATTTTGCCTGATCTAAATCATTCGTTCACAACCCACCTGGGCCTTCTAAAGTATCTGCTCTATACCATCAGGAAGCTTCTACTTAAAAGTGAAGCAATGCCCTAGCTGGTGTGGCTCAGTGGATTGAGTGCCAGCCTGCAAACCAGAGGGTTGCCGGTTTGATTTCCAGTCAGAGCACATGCCTGGGTTGTGGGCCAGGTCAGGTCCCCAGTGGGAGCACATGAGAGACAACTACATATTGATGTTTCTCTCCCTCTCTTTCTCCCTCCTTCTCTGTCTGTGTAAAATAAAGAAATAAAATCTTTTTAAAAAATGAAGCAAGATTCATTTGGTTCAAAACCATTCAGCAATGGATACTTCTTGGGAACTCTAATGTTAACAACAGAGACATTCCAGGGGAAGGGACATAGAGATTTTCAGACAGCCCCATCTCAAGGACCAGGAGGCGAGGCTGTATAGTCATTTCTTAACTCCATGCATTTCTAGTCCTCATGTGTATGGATTTGAAAGCCCATTTGAAAGCAAGGTCTGAATGACCCTCTGACAACCTCACAGGAGTTGCCCAATGGGTATATGACCATTGTATCCTAGCTTTTCTTTGGATGTTATCTGCATACTTGGCTAATGGGTCCAGCTTTTGAACGAGTAAAATCTTAGAAACACAAGATGCTTTCTTGCTTTAACAGTGAGTGGGATAAAAAAAAAAAAAAAGAACTACAGCACTGTGAATGGTCTGGGAAAACTCAGAATTACTTGTGCAGTTAATAAACTCTCCATGGGTGCCTTCCTCATTTCCCAGCTCTTGGGAATACTATGACTTTCTGATCCCAACCTGGCATGTCTGTAAATTCTCCTGGTAAAAAAAAAAAATCAATCACTTGTTCTGATAAGGAAGTGCAAGTTTAGCTGAAGAGAAAATTATTTGAAACACCACTGACCACCTAAGAATTCTACCTTTGGTCTTACATTCCATGATTTTAGAAATTTCTACCAAATGATGCTTGCTAGTTAAATGCAGGTTTGTGGTTCTGGTAGGTCAATTGGTAGCTTGTATGTATGGCAGAATCTATATTTTACACTAAAAACTTATAACAATATTTCTCTCATTACTTATAAGCATGTCAATTGACTTCTAGATTTAAGATACATAGGATGATTCTTAAAGTGTCTTTTCCCTCACAATACATTGAAAACACACTGTTAATGATAAAAGGAGTAGCTGTTGCCATCTTGATTTTCTGGTATTAATCTTTCCATCTGACCTACATTTTGACCCTCACTGCAGAGGGTTAACTGAAAAGATATGCACCAAAACACTTCCTTAAAAGAGGCATAGCCCTTTGTTTGGAGAGCAAGAATTGCTTGTAATATTAACACTTCCTGTCCAGTAAGACTGTCTTTTAAAAAATAAGCTACAACGTATAAAACCAAGGTCATTTCTCAGAAAATGTTCATGTTTTTTTTTGTGATTACAAAACACTGCATCCTGTAAAATATTTCTAGTTCTGTTAACTTGAGAAGTACTAATGCTTATTATAAAAGTGGTATGTCTCTCAGAATTGTAGAAGCCTAAGCAGTGTATTTCTTGTCTTATTTGAAAAATTAAGTTATAATTGTTATTGTATTTCAGATTACATTCCAATATAAATATTACCATTGTGATTCTCAGACCCTCAAGAGAAGTTATAAAATATGAGATTGTCATTAAAAAAGGATCTATTTACAAATCAAGACCACAAGTAAAAGTCTCACTTTGATTGCTGGTCCTATGATAGATACACTTTTTAAAGCATCTAGACCAGTGATTTTCAAACAGTGTGTTGCAAGAATTTTGAAAACATGCAATACCGCTATTTAGTTAGGGACACTGACCTCTTCCTCATAGATTGTCAAACAAAAAAATTATAACAGCCAACATGGCAATAGGTGTCTGGTGTGAATCACTCAAAATTATACCTTTTTTTTTTCAGATTGGCAAAAATAGAATATATTTTTGGTGTGTCAGAAAATTTTAGTAATTAGTTTATGTGTTCCATGAGATGAAAAGGGTTGAAAATCACTGATCTAGACCAGCAGTCCCCAAACTTTTTGGCACCAGGGACTGGGTTTTCCACAGACGGGGCTGTGGGGGAGGGTACAGAGGAGGGGGACAGCGGGAGACAGGAGGGGGAACTCAGGCGAGCTCAGCTCGTGGCCCTGTTTCTAACAGGCCACAGGTGGGTACCAGTCCACAGCCCAGGGCTGGGGACCTGTAATCCAGACCATTGGATAATAGGCTCAAAGTCAGTTGCAATGACATATGTCTTATACTTTCTTGCTGGATTGGTGGTATAATTGGTACCCCAAAGTGCTGATTTCATTTTATTTTCTGACTTGTGGTTCAACTAGTTCCAATAGAAAAAGACAAAGGAAACAGTTTCCATGAAAAGGAACCCTCAGGGAGAATCCCCACAGGTATCGGGAGCAAGGAGTGTGTGTCCGTGGCCAGGAGGGTTATTTTCTTAGAAGAAATGAAATCTGCAGTTGCCCCTCATGCCCAGCACATTCTCCAAAATGATCCACACCCCCACCCATACCCACGAATTCTGCCATGTTTCCACTCACTTGTGTGCAGATTCTTCCTGGTACTCACCAGGTCACTGCCACAGTTGAAGTGGTCAAGAGAAATTCTACAGGGCCATGAGAAAAAGCAGCACCTTGTCCAGAAAAGTCCATGGAAGTTTGCTCCTTAACCTACTATCACAGCTTGAACGCTTTCCCCCTGGGAGCTTCTGCTCATAGCTAAGAACTCTGGTGAACTAAGAACCCACCGGTGATGAGAGGAATGCCAAGGCCTCCTATTCACAATTACATTCCGAGAAAGCCTTCCACGAGTCTCTGGACACCCACCCGGAATGGTGCTTGTGGGCCACACACCAGCTTTTGACCACAGCACAGCCACAGAGAAACAGCTCTTCCTATAAAGCATCCCCCAGCCCCAGAAATGTTGGTCCCGTCTAGTTCATGTAACTTTGTCTTGAAATAACATCATGTTCATGAAAAAAAATTTTTTTTCTGACTAGAAGACTCTGGAGATAATATCTTTCTAATATTAAGCTCCTCCAGTTCTATTTTTCACATACCCTTTAATTTTCCCTGAGGAAATGAATATTATTTATAGTATTTTGCTACTATTCTCAAGGCATTCTATTCTAAATGTACAAGTCTTTCCACTTTTCTCTAAACATTCTCAAGTGAAAGCTGTGCTTTTGTTTCCAATGAAGTCTGCTGAAGAAGGCAGTGGGCTGCTCCCACAGGTGTGGACACCTGATTTCTGCCCACTGCAGATGGCCGCTCCCCCAGCGGGGCCCACGGACAGCCACCAGTGGCTGATCAGCACTAAGGGGTGGGAGCCAGGTGCCCATGGGCCTCTCGTGTTTCTTCTTGGTTCTCCAACACTCTTGTTACTTTCTCCAAGTTGTCACGCTGCATCCTACAACTTGGGTGCATGTCCCCTGGGAAGGACTAAGGCAGGGGTGTCCAACCTTTTGGTGTCTCTGGGCCACACTGGAAGAAGAAGAGTTGTCTTGGTCTACACGTTAAATACATTGTGACATGTTATCACAAAAAAAATCTTATATTTTTTTAAATATAAGATTTTGTGTTGGGTCACATTCATAGCCACCCTGGGCCACATGCAGCCCACGGGCCATGGGTTGGGCACCCCTGGACTAAGGGTTCAATCTACTGTCTGATGACTTTCTCTCTAACTGTGCAGTTATCTGGAGAATACCTGTCCATCACTGTGAAATGCCTTCTTTGGAGAGAGATGAGAAATGTTTTCTGAAGGAAGGAATATCAAGGGAGAGAAAAGTCAATGCTATGATGAGCCTTATTTAGCAATACTTTGGGACCAGAATCCACTGCATTGCATTCCTGTTGCAGACAAGTCTCCGAGGTCCCTGTGATGGATGGGGCTCCAGTTCAGCAGCCAGTGTGCTGTGGGACACCCCTTCCCATCCACCACCTCTGCCAAGTGAGAGAACATAAAAGAGCATGGTGCCCCAGAGATGGCATAAATAACTGTTGGGCTTAATTTGGCACTTTGTTTAGTTCCAAAGGATAACAAAATAGCTTTACATTAAAAAAAATTTAGCTTTTACAATCAGTGTTGTATATTGCAATTCATAGCTTGGTGGGTGGCCTTCAAGAAATTTAATTCCTTTTTGTTCAAGGCCAGCCAGGAAAAGCTTGGTGGCCCCCTAGTTACTACATGCCTTCATATAGGGTAGAGGTGTCTGTATGGCCAGGGAGGAGCCGCCATGTGGTGGGAGACCTGGGAGAGTACATGTAAAGAAGGTGTTGCAAAGGCAAAGAACTCCCAGGGAAGGGCACCCAGCTCCATCTTCTGCTCATACCTGTGCATTTGGCTAAAATCCAGGCAGAGCTCAGAACTACTCATGCCCCCTGTCTCTGCAGGATAGCGGCAGAGCCTGGTCCCAAGGTTGCTCCACAGCAAAGCTCTCTCCCTCCTTGAGTCCAAAAGTCCTCTGTGTGTTGGGGGGATAAATTCAGCAGCTCATCATGTTAATAATTTTTGATTAGTGACATAATCCAAGGATCAAGAGCCAGGGAACTTTGTTGAAGAGAAAACCCTCTGCTCCGGGGTTGTACCCCAACCACCACTTAAGTACATGGTGAATCTGCTCAAATGCATGATCTGCCCTGGACTCATGGGTCACTCCATCTACAGCTCAGGGCCCTGGCACCAGGCCAGAGCCTGTCTCACAGTGGGCGGTGCCTGTAGGTGAAGCATCAGGTCACCCGGGAGGAGAAAAACATGCTAGGGTAGAGGATGCAAAAACATTTTTCTACTTAAAAAAATGTCTTTTCTCGGCTAACCTCATAAATACTAAACATACATTACAGCTGATGCCATGGTGCGTGCTGATCGAGTATCATGATGTGAAATTAAATAAAGCTCTTTTTCTCTCAGAAATAAGCGTTTTCTCAGAATAAGTGTTTTTACAGAAAAAAATAAATGAAGGAGGAAAATAGGATCTCTTCTAGGGAATAATGTTTGAAAAGTCATATGAGAATTTTAAAAAATCAAGTTGCCAAAATATAACCATATAGATTGCGGATATTACATTACAGAATTACTCTTTAAACAAAGAGTTACTCTTTCTACTCTTTAAACAAAGGTGTATGTACAATCTCTAGATGTATATTAAACTTTCCTCTGTGCAACCTTCTTTAACATTCCTATGGCTGATCCTAGGCTCCCGTCCTGCACAGTGCATCCTGTAAGGTGCTTGTACCTCTTTGCATAGGTATAGGAGAAATAACTCTCTAGCAGGGCAATTGAGAGGAGGGTAGGAAGTTGGAGGGCTTGACAACTACCCTCCTCCCCCCATACCACTACCACAAAAACCAACCAACCAACCAGGTGAGAAAGCCTAATAAGTAGAACACAGCACAAGCCCTGTCCTACTAAATCAAGAGCATCCTATACCGACATGCGTTTTCCTTTCGGCGTTCTCAATGTTTCCTTCTGAGCCAAATTCTTAATGAATAGCTCCACTATTTTCACAAGAAAAATAAAGGTTTGGATCTTCTCTTTACCCATAAAATATTTAGAGTATTCATAAACCCATCTCCCAGACACACTAAAGCATGAAACCTGCCCAAGTGCACGCAGACTGGAGGTTGGTCTGTTTGACCTCACGGGGCTTTCTGAACAGGTGGAGACATGGAGGCTGTGCTCTGCTGTTTAAAGGCAAATCTGCAGGGACAGTTTTTCTTGACGTTTCTCAGACCAGACAGTGAGGAGTTTTGAGGGGAAGCTCGATGGCCCATAGACCTGGCAATGACTTTGCCAGACGTGTGGTGACACACAGATTTTAGCTGCGGTTCCCATCACATCCCTGAAAGAAGTGTCAGGCTTACCCAGAGGGCTCCACGTGCCAGTTCTGGATTGAGCTGAGTAGGCAGAGGAGGAGCTGCTTGGGGAAGGGCTTCTTACGGATCTCACGAAGACTTCTAGGTGTTTCCCATCAGTGACAGCTGGATGTCCTGAGCTCAGCTTGGAGCTGAAGTCTGCTGGTGAGTTCAGTCAACCTCTTTTTGAATTTCCACCATCAGGGCTCCTGCAAGCCCACCGCTCTACCATTTCCAGGCCATTCTTCAAAACAAAACAAAACAAAACAAAACAAAACAAAACAAAAACAAAACAAAACAAAACAAAACAAAACAAAACAAAGAGAAAGACATGGAAAAGATACCCAGAGTGCTGCCCCAAAAAGTCAAATGGAAATTGGGAAAAGACTATTCACACAAAAGTGGGTATTGTTCTTTGTACAAAAGCTACAGCATCACATGTAGCTTTTTTTGTGTCAATACCCACCGCCCCCTCCCCCTTACCGAAATGGTATTTTTCAGAAAGCTTATCAAAATATGCCTCCTTTCTAGGTAAAATGGGCATTGTTGATTCCATTGCTATGGAAGTCCACAGTTTTCAGACCTAGACACATAGTAAAGCAAATTGACTTTCCTTTTCACACACACAAAAAAGTAGTAATAGCTGCTCTAGGCGAGACTCCTAACAGACCAGTGACTGTGTGACTTATTTTTTTGCTGTAATTCCACCAAGGTTCCTGGAAGTGTTTTCCTGGGCTCCGGATGTATTTGTTCAGAAGGAAGAACGCTTTCCCAAAAGCTGCAGTGGGAGGCGAAGGTGGGGTGACCCACGGTGGCTGTGACCCGGTGGCCGTGACCAGATTACTGCTGTCCCTTAGGTCTCAGTCCAGGAAGCGCTGGCAGGCCTTCTTCCAGCGGCAGGCCGTGCACCACAAGTCTCGGTTCTCCATGCCATACACCTTCCGGCATTTCTTGCCTTCTCCCCGAGGCTTCCTGGGGATGTGTGAGGACAGCATGGTCAGTGGGAGGAACTCAATGAACATTCCACTGAGGGCTCGAAATCCCTCAAAAGATGGAGAAAAGAAGCTAGGAAATGTAGCAGAGCTTTCTCCAGATGAGGCTTTCACAAATGTTGGGTGATTTCCCCCCCACTTCCCAGGGCTGCTACAATTGGCTTATCTAACTCTTAAGCTTCTACTGGTCCACTTATGTACATGATATTGGCCATCTGCACAACACTGAGTTAAACACACACAATGAGAAAGACCAGCAGAGAGCATTACTGTTTCAAATTTTTACAGATGTACTTTTAAGTGTTCTCTTTTTCTTCAAGTGTCTAGCATCCTGGTTAAGGGAATCCCAGGAGGTGCTTCTTGGTCTGGATTAGAAACTGTGTCTTGTAGTGAACTTAATACAGAGGTTAATGCAACATGGCTTTAAGTAGACCCAATAATCACCATTGCTTATTCTCTAGCAAAACTCACTGCAAACTGGTACAACAAAAAACCAACAAAGTTTCCCTCATAGTTAATGGATGGGGAAAACCATGGGAACAAAAGAAACTGTGTTTCATCCATTACAGGGAAATTTTATGAAAGGTCTTATCTCTCATTTCTTTCTTTGTTTCAGTTCTATGTCTCGGTTAATTCCCTTGAGATGAGGAGTTTCATACCTTAGGCTGACCATCCCCCTGGGTGGAGAGGACAAGACCGTGTGACTGTGCTGTCTCTGCTCTCCTGTGCCCACAGGATGGTGATGTGTTGGTGACACCTGGTGAGGACAAGGAAAACATAGTTGATGTGGCATGTTCTCTGTGCCATACCTTTATTTAGCTTTGCGATGTGAGCAGTGGTCCTTCACCATTAGAAACGGAGGTGAAGTGTTTCCTTCACAGAGACCACGTGTTAAAATGGATAGGGTGATGCTCACAGCAGAATTTAAATGCATCTCCAACAGAAAAGACCCAACAGTAATTAATGCCTTTACAATCTTCATGACTTCACATGTATGCATTCTAATTTGCCTATAGCAAATATTTTCATTTGAATGTTTTAAACCATAAAGGATATTCCTATTCCAAGCATCATGATTTCTCTTTTAAAGAAGAAAAACAGCTAGAGAGGTTAAGAGAGCTTTCTAAAATTATACAGCTAGTCAGTGGCCACATCAAGTGGTCTTTGGCCTTCTGTTTGCTTTGTCATTCACAGTCACTAAATAAATGGCTCCTTATACAAAATACTCACACAGCAACAAACCCCTTCTGGGGTCCGAAAGGAATAAGGGGAAGAAACCAAGAGCTTGAGCAAATCAAGAATGAATGTCACCCACATAATAGTTACTGTCACTGTGTGCTAAGTCTACTGACAAGAGCTTTAATTTCCACAACTACCCTGAGTGATAAGTACTACTATTGTTCCCATTTAATACATAAGGAAACCCAGGCACAGGGAGGTTGTAAAACTTGCCCAACATCATAGACCCTGCAGTGGCAGGGTGGGGCTGTCCTGAGCCCCACCCTCTAATGCCTCTGCCTCCAGTCACAACAGTAGCAGGGCCCCTCCTGTTTCCCAATCCCCAGATGATTACCAAGTCTCTCTGTGCACCTGCTCTCATAACACTAAATATCTCCCCAGATTGTGGCATTCTCAAAAGCTGCCAAAACGAATTTTCATAACAAAAGATAAATGTTTCAAGTAAATATATAATTTTTGTGTTACAGAAGAGCAGACACTGGATATATTTTAAAACATAATCATCTGGACTTCTGGCCAAGATGGAGGTTTAAGTGGAAACACTGTACCTCCTCGTGCAACCAAAATGAAAGAACAAAGATTTAGAAACAAAAACACAACCAGAACAGAAAGAAAATTGAACTGTATGGAAGTCTGACAACCATTCAACCGGACCAGTAAGAGGGGTGAAGTCGGCGGCCAGAGGAGAGGGATCGCGATAGGAAAAGGCAGTGGCAGCCAACCCGGGAGTGCAGGTGCCCCGGGACTGACCATGGTCGCACATCTGAGCACAGATAAACTAGGCAAAAACAGGCAGCAAGACAACCCAGGACCCCACCAATGGGAAATAAAGCCTAAAAACACCAATTGAAAAGGTGCCGGCTTGTGGGAAGCGGCAGAGGGGACTGAAATCTGAGAGAGGGGAACAAGAGCCATTGCTCCCTCTCTGACCCCACCCCCACATACAGTGTCACAACCCAGTGACTGGGTTGCCACACCCTGGTGAACACCTAAGACTCCGCCCTCCATATGTAACAGGCACGACCTGACCAAAATGGCTCAATCAGAAGAACAAATCAAAGCCCCAGAGCCAATACTTTTAAGCGACCAAGAGATAGCCAATTTAGTGGATGAACAGTTCAAAACAATGGTGATCAGGATGCTCACAGAACTGGTTGATTTTGGTCACAAATTAGATGAAAAAATGAAGGCTACACTAAGTGAAATGAAGGGAAATGCACAGGGAACCTATAGTGATGGAAAGAAAACTGGGACTCAAATCAGTGGAGTGGACCAGAAGGAAGAAAGAAACAACCAAACAGAAAAGAATGCAGAAACAAGAACTCAAAAAAAATGAGGAGAGGCTTAGGAACCTCTAGGACATCTTTAAACATTCCAACATCTAAATTATAGGGGTGCCAGAAGGGGAGGAGGAAGAGCAACAAGTGGAAAACTTATTTGAACAAATAACAAAGGACGACTCCCCCAATCTGGCAAAGGAAATAGACTTGCAGGAAATCCAGGAAGCTCAGAGACTCCCAAAGAAGTTGGACCCAAAGAGGAACACTCCAAGGCACATCATCATTAAGTTACCCAAGATTAAAGATAAGAAGAGAATCTTCAAAGCAGCAAGAGAAAAAGAGACGGTTACCTACAAAGGAGTTCCCATAAGACTCTCAGCTGATTTCTCAAAAGAGACCTTACAGGCAGGAAGGGGCTGGAAAGAAGTATTCCAAGTCATGAAAGGCAAGGATCTACATCCAAGATTGCTCTATCCAGCAAAGCTTTCATTTAGAATGGAAGGACAGATAAAGTGCTTCTCAGATAAGGTCAAGTTCAAGGAGCTGATCATCACCCGGGCCTTACTATATGAAATGTTAAAGGGACTTATCTAAGAAAAAGAAGATAAAAAATATGAACAGTGAAAGGACAGCAAACTCACAGTTATTATCAACCACACCTAAAATGAGAGCAAACTAAGTGGACAGCTAGATCAGGAGCAGAGCCACAGAAATGGAGATCACATGGAAGGTTAGCAACAGGGGAGTGTGAGGAGGAGGAGAAGGGGGGAGAAAATAGGGGGTGGGCAAGAGTGGTGTGGGAAATGTAGAAGCTAAAGAACTTATGACACATGGACATGAACTAAAGGGGGCAAATGTGGGTGGGAGGGGGTGTGGAGGGGAATGAAGTAAGGGAATGGGACAACTGTAATGACATTATCAATAAAATATATTAAAATAACATAATCGTCTGGAAGCCCACAGGGACCTAGAAATACCATTACCTATTAACAGTCACAGGGACATTCCCAAGGCAAACTTATAGAACTGATATGCTCTAGTTCAGGGGCTAGTATATTTATTTTCTTTCAATGGGAAGTAGTATACGCACATCTGTGTTATTTCCCCAGACGTTACTTTAAAAAAGATTAAACAAGTAACAAAAAGCCCTAACATTTTAAACCACTGTTGCTATGACTCTGAATTATTCCATAGCATTGGTCTTTACTTTTGCTAAAGTTGGGTGGAATGGATGCACTTGATGTGGGTAGATAACAGGCTTTTCCAGGAGCAGAATTCTACCCCACCCCCATAAGGATGCATAATAGCAAACCAGAGGGAGTAACTTTTACAGGTGTGCTTAGCTGTGATCTAGAATGATCTAGAATGACCTAGAATATACTCATCTGAAATGTTTTCAGTGATCAGGACAATAGACAATTTAAAAAATAGACTGTAGAACTGTAGAACTTTTAGACTCCCAAGAACACTTCCCTATTTAGTCAGAGAACTGAAAAAGTTGAGGGGTCATGGCACTATTTTCATCAGCCCAGGATACTGTGGAAAGTTCTAAAATTTGCAAAGTTGCTGGCTCCACCCATTTTGTGTGGGGGTAATGTGAGATTACAGGATGTTCTTCATTCAGTGGATATTTCTGGAGCACTGACTACACATGAGACACTGGCCTAGGCTATGGGGATACAAAACAAAGTCTCTGACCTTATAGAGCACACATTCTAGTGGGCAGAGAGCCAATGAACTCCAAACACAATAAAATAAGGTAAGAGGCAGCTTGATCAAAGGACAGAGCATTTATTTATTCAGGGTGGTAAGAGAAGGCCTCTCGAGGAGACTACCCCTCACTTCCAGGGCACCCCAGGGAAAGGAGAGCAGTGACAAAGCACTGTGGGTGCAGAGTGCCAGTGGGGTCAGAAGACACTGTGTGGGGGCAGGAGGTGGGAGAGCAGGAGGTGTTAGATCCAGGACGTGCCCTGTCACTGTGATAAGAAATTTGAATGTTATTCTAAGGCCGAGGGAAGCCACTGGAGAGTTTTTTTTTTTTTTTTTTTTTTTTTTATTTAGTTACTTTTCAAGTACATTTTTTTCCCTTCCCCCCCCCCCCGCCCGGTCTCCCCCCTCCCTCCCATTCCCCCCCCACCCCCAGTCCTCAAGTCTGTGTCTTTCATACTTGTTCCTCAAAATCCCTCCCCCTTTTTCCCCTCAAGTTCCCTTCCCTCTCCCCTCTGGTCGCTGCCCACTTGTTCTCTATTTCAGCATCTTTGTTTTTATTCTGTTTGCTTGTTTGTTTTATTCTTTAGCTTCCTGTCAAAGGTGAGATCATATGGTATTTGTCCTTCAATGCCTGGCCTATTTCACTCAGCATAATGCTTTCCAGTTCCATCCATGTTGTTGCAAAAGGTAGTAGCTCCTTCTTTCTCTCTGCTGCATAAAATTCCATGGTGTATATGTACCACAATTTTTGGATCCATTCATTTACTGATGGGCACCTAGGTTGCTTCCAACTCTTGGCTATTGTAAATTGTGCTGCTATGAACATTGTGGTGCATAGGTTCTTTGAAATTGATGTTTTAGGATTCTTGGGGTATAATCCTAGCAGTGGAATTGCTGGGTCAAAAGGCAGGTCAATTTAAGAAAGATGTCTGATTAGCTTTGAAAAGATCACTTTTGGCTCCTGGGAGAATGACTTGAAGACAGCTGGAGAGAAGCCCCAAGGCTGGTTCAGAGCTTATGCAGTGTTTGGGCAAGGAAACACACTGGTGATTTAGGTGAGGGTTATGGCTGCGGTCTTAAGAAGAGGCTGGACCCATGTCCATTAGGGGCAGAGTCTGGGACTTGCTATAGATAGGATATGGGACAAAACAAATAAACAAACAACCCCCCCCCCAAGTCTTTAGATGAATCTGAGAGGAATCACCAGGTAAGGACAAGTCCTCATTTCTGGACTGAGCAGCTGGAGGGATGCTTATTGAAATGGGGAAACAGGTAAAAACTACAGGTTTGGGGGAGGAGAGAGGACCGGGTATTTGAAAATACCAAGAACGTAATTTGAGGAACATGGACCTTCTGCTGGAATAACCCTTGTCTATAATCTATTCTTGCTAATAGCTTTCTCAGCCCTGGAGTTGAGGGCCTGTGTGTCTTGAGTTCAGTCCTGGTGTCCCACAGGGCACAGCAGAAGCCAGGACTCACTGTACCTCACATGTGTCTCAGACGTGGGGGAGGAGCCATACAATCCAGC